TGCCTTTATTGTTTGTTACACCTTTAAAAACATTAACGTACATCTAAAAAACATTAACGTTCATCTAAATGGTTCAAGAGATCAAAAGATAATAAATAATTATTTAAAGAATTAAAGTGTCATAATTGTTTAATTGTTATTAAATTAATTGTTGTTAATCAATCAAGCAATATACTATAGTGGGGCCGAAACGTCTCTCGGAAAAGGGCCGAAACGTCCAGGGGCCGATTTTTCGACTGGGGCCGATTTGGTTTGGGGCCGAAACGTCCTGTTTCCCATCATTTGATGTCTGACGAACCTCGTATCTAATATATATATTGGTACGCATATAAACATCTGTTTGCTGAATTGAATATCAAAAATGTTGCAATTAATTAGTAATTATATCTTATGCGTATGTTAAATAGGATTAAAACTAATTGATCTTCGGCTTTAAGCATGTAGAAATCTGACCAGTATTCACCGCGAGGTCACAAACTTTAAAACTTTAATGTAAATATCACAATAATACTTCTTTATATAATATTTCTATTCTTTGACAGGGACACAGAACATCTCTTACATGTTTAAGAAACAACAAATTTACATAATATATCTATCTAAGAAATTCTTTTACTTCTCAATAGTAACAGACGCAAAACACGGTACTTAAGCGCTTAGACGAACGCAGACGCACGCTAAACGTTTCTGGGAATAAGAAACGCACGCTTTCAGACGCACGATAAACGAAAAACGATACACGGAAAACGATAAACGTTAAACGCTTGTAAACGATGCACGCTTGAGAAAGCGTTTCAGCAAACGCACGTTGCACGCTATACGCACGCACGTTACACGAAAAACGGACGCACGAAAAACGCTATTTTTGACAACCGAAACGTTCACCCTACTGTAATAGAATAACGAACATTTTCAAATCAAAATTGATCTTTGGACCACTAACTTATAGATCTATGATATATACATATAAACATACATACACACATATACATGTACAAACATACAAAAAACAAAACATACATAACATGAGCCATGAATGCAAAATGTGTTGTAAATTAATTGAATTTTAATACATAAACGCATTGCCATATATTTATAAACACATCCTAAAAATTTAAGGTCCCTTCGCATCAATTGCAGATTTCATAATTGTAACAAATATATTTTATCATTCATTTTGGATTGTTTTGAAACATTGAAAGTCCAATTTTAAAAGTGCTTTGACTATTCATGTTAAGTTGCAAAGAGACCTTCGAGCTGACTTAATTGCCAACCCTTATCATACAAATATGACATTTATACCAATAGAAAACATATTATATGTAATTATGTACAACAACGTTTTAATTTTCTCCAAAATTATATCTGTCTTGTCGAAACGAAAGTGCAAGACAAATCATATGGATATTATGTTAACATGAACATTACAACTGGACAAATTTGCATTGTTAATCATATTGCAAAGTATTTCTAATAATAAATGCTTTTTTTATATATATTCCTAAGTTTTTAAGTATGTTCTTATTTTCTGAGTTCATAAGATCTACAAATTTATACATGCTAGGCCGTATCCAATATTTTCTGGCAATATACTTTTTCCTAATATCAATGTACATTACACATTCAATAATAAAATGATATTCATCTTCTACCTTATTACATGTTATACATTTTCTATCACTAATAGGTGTTCTGGTGAGTTTGGTCCATCGACCGGCTTCTATGTGTAATCTGTGAGATGATACCCTTAAACGAGTAAATAATTGAAAAAAATTATGAATATTAAAGCATTCCAAATATGGTTGAAATCTAAATGATGCAATTGTGTTATAAAATAGAGCCCTACTTGATTGGTTAAGTTTTGCATTCCAGTTCTGTATAAATTGATCGCTTAATCTTTGTTGAACAACAGCAAGAAACATTTCGGTATCACCAACGCCTTGAAAAATCCACGCATCAACAAATCCAAGAGAACATAGTAAATCTTTTAATAATGTACACCAGTTTGTTTTATTTAGACACAATTCTACAGTCGTCTTCAATAAATTATAAACAATAAAGACATATTTGGTTTGTGTTGCTTGCAAAATTCGTAACCAATATTTGATAGCCTTAAACATTTGTATAGTTTTAAAATATACTCTGCCTAACTCGCCGTATATGAAATCGTTCTGTGTAGACCCTTTTACACCAAGTAATCTTTTGCAAAATTGCAAATGTACTTTCTCAAGCTAAATTATGTGCAAAACAACAAAGTTCACAACAATAGTTCAAGATAGGGGATACAAGCTTATCGAACAATTCTAACTTGTGTTTTGGAGGTATATAGGTAAACTTATGTAAGTATTTATTCAAAGTAAAAATAGCTTTTTGTGCTTGCCCAGCTAATGTATTTTGAGCAGTAAATAGCGAACCTCCTGTAGTAAATACCACACCTAAGTAACTAAACTTAGTAACAATTTCAATGGGATCATTATTATAATTAAATATCGTGCCACCAGGAATAGTACCACCTTTTCTAAATATCATAATCATAATCAAAAGCTTTTGTATAATCAACAAACAAAGTAAAATGTTGTTTCCCTTGATTAATAATATGGGTTATTAAGCCATTAAGGTAGACCATGGGTAATGGGAACCATAAGGAACTTTAAAATTGACAACATAGGACGGTTATATGTCTTCAAGTTCACCTGTATGCAAAATTTAAATAAAATTTACCGTGTAGTTTATGAGTTATGGATATATTTCTGAACTAAGACTTTGCCATTAGAAGGGCTTATTTTCAGAAATGAGGAAACTCTAAATAATCTGTAATATCATCATTATAAAAAATGTTTTTCTATTGCCCATTGTTAAGAAACAATAATAGCATTCAAATAACAAATTACACAAGCAAAATGTTTGTTTCTAAACAAAATGTTTTGAATATGTATAAAAATGTTACCCTACCCCACCAACTTTAACACTTATTTTACCATTTCCATATCTAAAATGCCTTATTTAAAATATTCCTAAAATTTTCCATAATGAGGGGCTGTTTTCAAAGTTTGCCTAAATTTTCTTAAAGGTATATTGGTTGATCATGCGAAATATAAAATACTTTTACCGTGTGGTTTTTATTTTATTAAATTTTGAAAATATCTGGTGTCATATTTGCTATAAATTTTGGCATTATTTAGCAAATAGATACCTACAATAATTATATAATTTAAATCAAACCCTTTTTGATACATAAATAATGTACAAAAGAAAAAAAAAGAAAGAAAAAAACGTTGCCCCTTCTGGGGTTTGAACCCACGCCCCTCAATTTCAATGTAGTTTGCAAGTGATTTTAGCCTATTTGAATACTCTTCAAAGTGGAGGTAATGCATTACCCATGGTCTACCTTAAGTACAAAAATATTATCTTCAGTGCTCATATTCGCCCTAAATCCTGCCTGTGCTTCTATATATACATTATAGTTTTCGGCCCAAAGTTTCAACCTATTATTTATAATCCGTGTAAAGAGTTTACCAAGACTGCTTAAAAGTGTTATACCACGATAATTATCCACATTGTTTACACTTCCCTTTTTATGCAGTGGAATCACAAAGCCTTCAGACCACCTTGCCGGAAAATAACCAATTTCAAAAATCTTGTTCAACAATATATAAAACACTTTCTTCAAAGCATCTTTGCCTGTAGTAAAAAACTCATTTATCAAACAATCTGGACCCCCCTGACCTATTATTTTTTAGTTGTTTAATGGCTGTTGTAATTTCAGTAACAGATATACACGTGTTTAATTCATTGAACATGATTTTAAATTCATCATTTTCATATCTTTTAATAAAATATATAACATCTTCACCAGGTGAAAAATAACTATCATCTGGATTGTTAACAGCTTTTAAATACTTCTCAAACATCGACATTGATATATTAGACCGTTTAATACCCGCAGCCTCTTTCAACATATTCCAATATAAACGTGCATTTTTGTGTCTATTACTTAACAATTTATTTGTTTTTTCTTTATCGTAATTGTATCTACTTTTTGTAATGATTGACTTCTAATCTGACATGGCTTTTACCATATTTACTCTCGTACACTCGTTTTGATTCATTCTGTATTGATTAAGACATATATATAAAAAAACATTCAAAATATTCTTCGTTAAACCAGGGCTGCGTGCTTTCAGAGTTAACATAACTGTTTTATCTGATCAAATGTTTTTAACAAAAGGGGAGGCTACTTTATTAAAAATGCCTTCAAAAACATGTATACAATTATTGATATCATCATGTGACGTTCTAGCTATTATATTGCTCGTTAAATCACGTAAATCTCTTAAGCTGTTGTCGCTCTCTAAATTCTCAATATATGTATTTTTTAAATCGTGTTTCCATACATACTTATGATTTATACTCTCAAAATCGTTTTAATCACAAATATCACAATTATTTTCCGTTATATAGTCAAATGAATATGTAACTGACAATAAACAATGATCCGATACAATATTTGGTAAATCAATATAAAACATAGAAATATTATCAAACATATTTCGCTTGCATAATAAATAATCCACCACACTACGTCCTCTGTTACTTGCAAAAGTATATTTCATCATCATATTATCGTTTCCTTTTCTACCATTAACAAATCTGTAACTTGTTTGCCTACAAAAATCTAGCAGAAGCGTACTGTTATTGTTAACATGACCCTTATCTTCTGAAAACCTCTGCATATCAATATCAGACTGGTACCCTTCAGGCAAATAATCAATATTAAAATCACTCATAGTATCATTTTCCACATAATCAGATAAAGTATGTACGTGCATTAAAGTCTCCAAAAATAGCATAATAATTTTCGATTTCTGACATACTTTCAACATATATAACTGAGTCAATTAACCTATCAAAAATATTACTCTCATTCATAGATTGTCGGCTGCTGTCATCTAAAATCACATAGCATAACCCAATAAAAAAGTATCTATCTGTCCCCAACTTCATCTTAGAAATTTTAACCCAAATAATATCGTCTTGTGAGGTAAAAACTAAAGTATCATCTGTGACTAAATTATTTCTTAAATAAATTATAAAACCGCCTGAATTACGTTTCGCTGAACGTTTAATGTCAGTTCTATTTAAAACAAAATATTCGAAACCATCAACATGTAAATTTGATAATACATCTGTCCATGTTTCTGTAAATAAAATACAATCATTATTACTAAAAAATTTCCTTTATATAGTCAGATTTAAATTTATCAGTCTTTTACTACATAATCCGTTAATGTTCATATACGCGCAACGAACTGTGATCTTCTCCGCTCCGTCCTACCCTTTAACCCCGCGCACGCGCTTTTGAGCAGCCGTGTTATTGTCGCTTCTATTATTAGAAACAGGGAAATTCCCATTTCTGACAGCTGTCAAATCGCGTCTATATGGGCTTGCGGAATGTTTTCGTCGCAAAGTACGCTCTTTTGTACGTGATATATGTGATCCACTACCTTCTACCACTTTGGCATATGTTTGACTATCTGAACTCATATTGTATGATGATTGCACTTATAAAAAATTACACTGATTTTGAGAGTGGGTATTATTTTCAACTAGGCTGACATTTTCGGACACTAAACTAGCATTTTGCACTAAGATTTCAGAAGTATTTCTTAACAAAGCAGGCATACCTCCGAAATGGTTCCCATGCTCCGAGTTCACAATATGTTGTGTCTGCTCACAACGGTTTGGTGACCCATTTACGCTTTGAGTCTCACTTCCTTGACAACTGCTTGCATTTAACAAGTGCGCAAAACCCGTATTATCATCATTCGGCATATTTAATACTCCGGTACTGTTATTATTCTTGTTATTGCTAATTTGATCAATTTGCTGCATCCCGAGTTTACCGTTTGTGTAATGTGACCCACTTTTATCAGTGAGCGAAAATTGCTGTCCACTCATGAATGGGGCGTATCCAGGCGGGGGGTAACTCGTTATTGGGTTAACTATGTATCATGTATTGTACTGCGCTGGTGTATCATTTGTAGGTACTTGAACTACAGAAGGGCGCGGTTGATCCTGCATTTGATGCGTAAATGTTGTTTGGCCAATTTCACTTATATATGTCATTCTGTCGTAATTTACGTATAAATTCCAATTGGGAAATTCATCATGAATCAGCCGACCGCGGTCTGCTATCAATTTTGCTGGGAATACTATAGATACTTTTGATCGTGGGTGTTCGGTACGGTGTCGGGATCTTGCGGATTGAATTTACTTTGGATAGTCGTAATCAACAGAAAATCCAGTATAGTTTTTCAATCTGTTTACTCTACTCATTATATAGTTTATATCACCAAAGTCTCTAAAGTTCACGATTATTGGCCTTTTACTAAACTTTTTACCTTGAACTTTTTCCCAGCCTGTGTGCCCTGGCCATGTACAAGTCTCTCGGGTCTATATCCAGTTTTGATTCAAGAAAATCTGATATAATCGTGAAACAATCTTCATCTCTCGTCTCAACAATACCCCTGAAGATAAGGTTGTTTCGTCTTGATCGGGCCTCTAAGTCTATTGACTTGTACGCTACTGCTTTTAAAAGTTCTGTTTGTAAGTTTGTGACACTGATTACCTGTCCAATTTTCTAGTCTACTTGTACGAGATATTTTTTGAAATCTACAAGACTTCTACTACAGCTCACTTGCTCGTTTCTAATAAATTTTAATTCATCGAACATATGTAAAAGTTTGTTATCAACTGAGCTGTCAATAAAATCTTGCCTGGTAAATTCCAAGTTATCCTTTTTCTGCTCCCCACGTATTCCCCGCTCGGTGAAAATTTGAAATCTGTTTTGGTTGAGCATAACACAAGAATAACACAAGTCAATAATCTAGTGTTTTACAATTGTATAAACACAGTTCTATAAAAATCTTCAAACTATATATAATCTATTCACAATACTATATTAATACAGTTCAGATTCCTTTAAAATTAATCTAAAATATCTCCACTTTATTTTCTACGTCTACACTGTCCGCAATATTTACATGTAATTAGTTTATATTAAGTTGGCGTAATGTATCTCCAATAATTACTCATAAAGACATTATTGAGCTGAATATATAACGTATATTAAAAGGAACGGAGATTTGATTATATATTTTCATTCATGAGCAGACTTGTCAAACCTATGCAATTTTGTGTCCCCGCTATAGGGGGGCGGGGCGGGGGCATGCAGATTAAACCTTGTCCGTCCGTCCACCGGGTGTCCGTTCTCATTTGCGTCGCACTAGCTCAAAAGATATTTGACCTAGTGTTTATAGGGCTATTGGTCAGCATGTGTAGTTGTGCACATAGGTGTTTGCGTGTGGATTAATTCCGTATTTGTAGAGTTATTACTCTTGACTTAGTAAAATTAACAATTTTCAACTTGTGCCACAGGTAGCTGAAAAAGTATTTGACCCAGGGTCATGAAACTTAACAGAAATGTTGCTCAGCATGTGTTATTGTGCAACAGGGGTTTCGGTTGTGGATTTATGCAGTATTTCCAGAGTTAATGCCATTGACTAAGTGAATAAACAATCTTTTGTCGTGTATATCTAACAAATGTTTGACTTATAGTCATGAAACTTTACAGTAATGTTGATATGCATGTGAAGTTATTCACCGGGTGTTTTTGCTATGGATTAATTCTGCTTTGTCAGAATAAATGCCCTTGAATAAGTAAAAATTTGCATTTTTCAACTTGTCATGTATATCTCAAAACGTGTTTGATCATACAACAATCCTGAAAGTCTGCTAGAATGCAACCAAATTATTCTATGACTTTAGTACCCTGCGAATTTTTGAAGTGTTACATCCCGGAGTTCGTACAATATCATCTTTTAAAACTCGAGCAATAAGGAGATTTAAATTTGTAACAAACGTCGATTTTTACAGAACTAAACAGAACTTAACATTAGTACGATGGCGTCATGATGTGATAATGTCACGAAGAACGCATGACGTTACGCGGCAAAACAAATACAAATGACCTAAAAACAGTAACAAATCATGAAATAAATAGAACATTTGTTTTGCATGTAAGATTGAAATATATTTCACTGTGAACACCAGCTATTATATGTTTGCTCGTGGCTACGCCACTTGTGCAAATATTAAATCCGTGAATATATTTCGATCTTACATGCAAAACAAATAAAAGTCCTCTACGTGTTCATGTCCATGTTAATTAATCGGTAAAAAAGGCTTAACTAAAACGCTTATTTAATTTAATGTTATTTGTGCGTTTCTTTCAAGCAATATCTAACATAAACACCCTATACTTGTAACACTGATATACTCAAGAAATATCTGACATTTTAGATATAGATGACTGCATGACTAATCCATGTATCAACGGAGGTATTTGCACAGACCTTGTCAATGGATATACCTGCACATGCTTGGCTGGATATTTTGGAGTCAATTGTTCTGCTGGTACTTCCTTTCTAATTCAGTTATGTCTTTAAATTACTAAAATGTTTCAATATTTTTAAAGTTATCGTTAATATAGAGGAACAATAAATTGTTTGGGTTTTCTCTGTTTCGTATACTTAGTCATACGTATTATGTAGATGTTTAACATTAACTTTTGTGTGAAGTTCAAAGTTTTCAGAAACAATGTGTATTTATATCATTAAACAAATATTGTAAGTACGTTGCAACTTATCTGTTGAGCACCTATACTATTAAAATTGTGTTGTTAAATTATATCCCAGTTGTAGACAATTGTGAAGAGAACCCATGTGAAAATAAAGGAACGTGTGAGAATAAAATAAATACACGGATATGTCATTGTGTTGATGGCTATGATGGTATTAACTGTGAAATAGGTAAATTTCATTTACCTGTAATTGATAATACACTTAATTCTGAAATATATTGTTCAGAACGTTTTTTTAATACCTGGTGAAATTAGAAATAATGTATTGTATAATTATGTAGTACGATTTGTCTCAAAATGGTCTTGTACGACTTAAAGAAGTTTTTATTAGCGTCTCTTTCATTATAGTTATATACAAATAAAATAAAGTTCCATTATGCTGTATTATTAAGTAGCAATACAGTAACAAAAAATAATAAAAAGTACTTTTTCTTAAAGTTAATTGAACGACAGAATGTTTTTATAGCTAAAATTTGGTAAATACTTTAACGATTCTTTTGCATTTTAAGATATAAATGACTGTGAAAACAACCCTTGTCAAAATGGCGGAAGTTGTACAGATTTAGTAAATGGTTATAAATGTGCTTGCGTGAATGGATATGAAGGAACCAATTGCCAAACAGGTAAAACATCCTATAAGATAAATCAGTAACATTGGTAACCTGTTATAGTGTTGAGTTCCTACAGTTGCGACTGTAATATGACCTGCTTGTGTTTTAGTTTAAAAGAAATATTGGTCATGCCATTCTAAGGTTTGTGGATTTTTTTTCGTTTCAAAACAAGTATTGATACATTTTCAAGTATTTTACAACAAGCTCTTTTTAACATTTCAACTTTTTTGATTAGTTAATTTTTCACGCGTTCAGACTAATACAAAAATAGGATGCTGGTATGCCAATTTTATCAGATATCAAATCTATTCGGTTATAATATGGCAACAGACAAAACTCTGCCTTATCTAAAACAATATTGATTTTAATCAAAGATTTGCTAGCTTTTAATTTTGATATTTCTACTTACATGTAGGTACTAAACTTAATGAAAATGAAAATAGTTGAATATTTAATCTATTGTATCATATTTTATGATGAAATTTATCATACCATTTCCAGATATCAATGAATGCTCAACCGATCCATGCAAGAATGGTGGTACCTGTAAAGATCTAGTTAATGCATATGAATGCGAATGTGTTGCTGGATACGAAGGCAAAAACTGCAATAATGGTAAGAGTACCATGCAAGCAAATGATAAACAATTTTTTAAAAGGGAAAACCCTTTTGACAAAATGGCAACATTTAACGAAAGAAAATAGCAGTTTTTATTTTTTAAATATCTATCATTTTTGTCTATTAGTGTCGTTACTTTGGAGGGGTTATATCATGTACAGTACTGATATGTGCATTTTAATCAATTTCAGGTGCGATAAAAAGATGGCATACATTTTTTTATCTATTTCTTTGGATTTTTATTCTCGTTCACGCGACATAGTCATCGTTTGCTACGTGGCAAAGAGATATCATCTCGATTAATAGAGATGAATAAGGTCACATGTCGGCTCTGTGCCTACAAAGTTTCATGCTGATACCTCTTATACTTTTAGAGTTATGTCCCGGACAAACTTCAAAGTGTAAAATAAACAAAGGGGGATAATTCAAAAATTAGGCAAGGCAGAGTTACGGTTCTTGTGCACTGCACACCTACTCAATGAGATCTATCTACCTACAAAGTTCATGTTGATACCTCTTATACTTTTAGAGTTATGCCCCGGACAAACTTCAAAGTGTAAAAATAAACAAAGGGGAATAATCCAAAAATTAGGCAAGGCAGAGTTACGGTTCTTGTGCACTGCACACCTACTCATTGAGATCTATCTACCTACAAAGTTTCATGTTGATACCTCTTATACTTTTAGAGTTATGTCCCGGACAAACTTCAAAGTGTAAAAATAAACAAAGGGGAATAATCCAAAAATTAGGCAAGGCAGAGTTACGGTTCTTGTGCACTGCACACCTACTCAATGAGATCTATCTACCTACAAAGTTTCATGTTGATACCTCTTATACTTTTAGAGTTATGTCCCGGTCAAACTTCAAAGTGTAAAAATAAACAAAGAGGAATAATTCAAAAATTAGGCAAGGCAGAGTTATGGTTCTTGTGCACTGCACACCTACTCAATGAGATCTATCTACCTACAAAGTTTCATGTTGATACCTCCTGTTGTTTCAAAGTTATGTCCCGGACAAGAAAAGGGGACGGACGGACGGACGGACAGACGGACGGACAAGGCGGCGACTATATGCTCCCCCGAAATTTTTCGGGGAGCATAAAAATGTAAAAGGCCGATGATTAAAGTTTTTCATTCAATATCAAGTTAATATACAATATTCGATATTGAAACAATCTTATTTAAACCTTTTTAGCTCGACTATTCGAAGAATATGAGAGCTATTGTAGTCGCCCCGGCGTCGGCGTCAGCGTTGGCGTCAGCGTCCGCGTCGGCGTCTGCGTTGGTTAAAGTTTTTTGTAAAGTCATATATCTCAATCATTACTTGACATATTCAATTGAAACTTACAATACTTATTTATAGTAACAAGGTACATTAGATTGACAATTTGGATAACTCTGCCTACAATATTGACAGAATTATGCCCCTTTTTAACTTGGAAATTTTGGTTAAAGTTTTTTGTAAAGTCAAATATCTCAATTATTGCTTGAGATATTCAATTGAAACTTACAATACTTATTAATAGTAACAAGGTACATCAGATTGACAAGTTGGATAACTCTGCCTACAATATTGACAGAATTATGCCCCTTTGGAACTTACAAATTTTGGTTAAAGTTTTTTTGTAAAGTCAAATATCTCAATTATTGCTTGAGATATTCAATTGAAATTTAAAATACTTTTTAGCTCACCTGTCACAAAGTGACAGGGTGAGCTTTTGTGATCGCTTTTCGTCCGTCGTCCGTCCGTCCGTCGTCCGTCCGTCCGTCCGTAAACTTTTACTTTAAATGACATCTCCTCATAAACCACTAAGCCAATTTCATCCAAACTTCACAGGAATGTCTCTTTGGTGGTCACCTTTAAAAATTGTTCAAAGAATTTAATTCCATGCAGAACTCTGGTTGCCATGGCAATCAAAAGAAAAAACTTTAAATATCTTCTTTTAAAAAACCCAAAGAGCTAGAGCTTAGATATTTGGCATGAAACATCTTCTAGTGAGTGTCTACAAAGTTTGTTCAAATAAAAGCCCTGGGGTCAAAATTGGCCCCGCCCCAGGGGGTCATTGATTTTCCCTATATGCATATAGTAAAAACTTAAAATATCTTCTTTTAAAGAACCCATAGAGCTAGAGCTAAGATATTTAGCATGAAACATCTTCTAATGGGTGTCTACCAAGTTTGTTCAAATAAAAGCCTTGGGGTCAAAATTGGCCCCGCCCCAGGGGGTCATTGATTTTCCCTATATGCATATAGTAAAAACTTAAAAAATCTTCTTTTAAAGAACCCATAGAGCTAGAGCTAAGATATTTAGCATGAAACATCTTCTAATGGGTGTCTACCAAGTTTGTTCAAATAAAAGCCCTGGGGTCAAAATTGGCCCCGCCCCAGGGGGTCATTGATTTTCCCTATATGCATATAGTAAAAACTTAAAAAATCTTCTTTTAAAGAACCCAAAGAGCTAGAGCTAAGATATTTAGCATGAAACATGTTCTAATGAGTGTCTACCAAGTTTGTTCAAATAAAAGCCCTGGGGTCAAAATTGGCCCCGCCCCAGGGGGTCATTGATTTTCCCTATATGTATATAGTAAAAACTTAAAAAATCTTCTTTTAAAGAACCGTAAGAGCTAGAGCTTAGATATTTGGCATGAAACATCTTCTAGTGAATGTCTACCAAGTTTGTTCAAATAAAAGCCCTGGGGTTAAAATTGGCCCCGTCCCAGGGGGTCATAGATTTTCCCTATGTGCATATAGTAAAAACTTAAAAATCTTCTTTTAAAGAACCCAAAGAGCTAGAGCTAAGATATTTAGCATGAAACATCTTCTAATGAGTGTCTACCAAGTTTGTTCAAATAAAAGCCCTGGGGTCAAAATTGGCCCCGCCCCAGGGGGTCATTGATTTTCCCTATATGCATATTATAAGTAAAAACTTAAAAAATCTTCTTTTAAAGAACTCAAAGAGCTAGAGCTAAGATATTTAGCATGAAACATGTTCTAATGGGTGTCTACCAAGTATTTTCAAATAAAAGCCCTGGGGTCAAAACTGGCCTCGCCCCGGGGGTCATTGATTTTCCTTATATGTGTACATGTATAGCAAAAACTTAAAAATCTTCTTTGAAAAAAACCCAAATAGCTTGAGTTTAGATATTATACATGAAACATCTTTAAGTAAATATCTACAAAGTTTGTTCAAATAAAAGCCCGGGGGTCAAAACTGGCCCTGCCCCAGGGGTGTCATTATTTTTAACTATATGTGTATATTAAAAACTTAAAAAATCTTCTTTTAAAAAACCCAATGAGCTAGAACTTAGATGTTTAGCATGAAACATCTTCTTATGAGTGTCTACCAAGTCTGTTCAAATAAAAGCCCTTGGGTAAAAATTGGCCCGGGGGGGGGGCTATATACAGGTGAGCGACCTCAGGGCCATCATGGCCCTCTTGTTTATAGTAACAATGTACATCAGTTTGCAAAATTGCATAACTCTGCCTGCAAAATTTGAAGAATTATTTGCCCCTTTGAAACTTAGAAATTTTGGTTAAAGGTTAAAGGTCTTCAAAGATATTTACTTGAAACTTTACACATGCACTTAGGGTCATAATTGGAGGGTCATAATTGTATGTCACTGACCAAGTTCCATAACTCTATCTTGCATTAAGGCTGATTCACATCCCCTTTTCTACTTTGTCTCTTAATGTTTATGGTAAATGTTTACATGCAAGTTTTACATATCTCAATAACTATTAAAGATATTTATTTAAAACTTCACATATGCATTTAGGGTCATAATTGTAGGTCACTGACAAAGATCCATAATTCTATCTTGCATTTAGGCTGATTTTTCTCACCTTTTTCAACTTAGAAATTCATGGTAAAGTTTTGCTTGTAAGCTGTTATCTCAATTACTACTGAAGGGTTTGTGCCTTTTTTGGGACAATTTTATGCATTCATAATAATAAAGCAGTGATTTACTTGATAAAACATCTTAATTAGAAGCCTTTGTACCTTTTCTGTCAAATTTATGTATTCATAGGTAATTAGTATTATTATACTCAATAAAACAACCTTGTGACATTACCTTCCGAATAGTCAAGCCAATACTGTATAAGTAGACTCTCTCTAAGGCCTATAACATGAATTTATTTTTAAAAAATTAGACCTTTTGTGATCTTAAAAAAATCAACATTATCAAGGCTCTTTTACTATCAAGCACTTAGAATAGTCGAGCGTGCTGTCCTACCGACAGCTCTTGTTATACCTGTCATGTGAAAATAATCCCTCAATTTTTTCTAAATTGAGAAGTCATCACTTATGTCCTTTCTCTTCAACCCCCCCCCCCCCCAAAAAAAAAAAAAATTAATAAAAAAGCAGGTTTTATATCAATTAAACATCAGTCATGTTATAGAATAAAAAACACTTGGCTGTCAGGATGTTAAAAAACTTTACAACGGTTTTAAAGTTATGTAGCGGACACAAATTGTACACCTTTTAACCCCTGACCTTTAAGTGTGACCTTGACATTGGGGATGGCAACCCAATTATTGCGCTTTGCACATAGCCTCAATATGGTAATAACTTGTGCCAAGTTATTTCAGAAAAAAATTCAGTAGTTTAAAAGTTATGCAGCGGACACGAAATGTAGACTTAAATTATGAAATAACATTTGGGGCTAGCAATTTATTTCAACCATTATAAATGGTAAATAAGAAAGCAATGCCTGGTCTCATATACCAGCTTTAATCATTTGCAGAGTAAACAATAGAATATTCAAAATTTCAGCATTTGTTGCTGAAATATTGTATATCATGTTAAAAACAAAAATCAAAACACCCAAGCTTTTATCTGAATTAAATTAGTAGGGATGGCAACGAGTTACCGGTTAACCGAGTACTAGATCGAACATCTGAATATCAGTTAACAAAATAGATATTCGATTACTCAGAAAAATATATATTTTCTAATTTTTTTTGTGATTTAGAAAGATTGGTGTATCCAATTAGTTCAGAAATTTGGGAATAAGAATGTATCTTCATAAATACCCATTAAATGCATTTGAAACATTCTTGCAGAGGTGCGAAAATGATATCATAAATTTAACGAGGTGATCAACAGTTTGACATGCGCACCTGTGTTGCTTATGTCATCCAGCCTCTTAAATGATATTTAATTACCTGTAATTGTGTAGCCGAACTAACTGTTTTGAAAACAACAAAGGGCCAATTGCTATCATGAATGTAAGAATAAAGGTAACTAGTATTTAGACCAGGTTAAAAACTTTTGTTGCCGCCAATTAGAACTTGTAAAATATTATGTTGTTGATTTAATTATAATTAATTTGTCTCCTGTGCAGTTCTATTTACTATCTACAGAATTCTATGAATTTAAATAGAAAACGAAAGTAGCATGCAGACGGTATTGATATTGTGTGATAAACTTTGAAGATCACTGGCAATCATCCGAGTAACCGAGTACTAGATCGGAAAAATGACCGAGTACTCGAGTATTGATTTTGGTATAGGTTGCCATCCCTATAAATTAGTGCCATTGTATATCTGTCCGGACACATGGTGCTGTAGTGTGGACAATTTTGGTAGTTTTGATACCCTCCTTGATGAGCCTCAGATAAAAGAGTCAATATAAAAAATATATTATAATCAATCAAAAATAAACAAATTTGTTTGTTTATTAGAAGAACCTAGCTGTACTGTGTCAAAATCTCAGATCTCTAGCTTTCAATTATTTTCTGTATGGAATAATGTTCAAAAAGTGTCAGGTTGATGGTCCACGACCAGTAGTTGTTTTGAAGAATAGTTATGTAAGCAACACTTATTAACGTTCAAAAAGGACCATAATTTAGTCAAATACATGCTAGAATTACCTGCCTTGGATAGTTACTTTTATTTATGATCCCCAAAACTTGTATGAAGTTTAAGGTGAATACCTTTAGTTGTTTTGAAGAATAATGTTGTAAGCAACACTTATAAACGTTAAAGAAGGACCATAATTTAGTCAAAATCCATGCTAGAGTTACGGGCCTTGGATAGTGACCTTTATTTTTGATCCTGCAAACATGAATGAAGTTTAAAGTTGATAATCCTTTAGTTGTTTTGAAGAATAATATGGTAAGAAACACTTATAAACGTTCAAATAGGACCATAATTTAATAATTCAAAATCCATGCTAGAGTTACGGGCCTTGGATAGTGACCATTATATATGATCCTGCAAGCAACACTTATAAACGTTAAAGAAGGACCATAATTAAGTCAAAATCCATGCTAGAGTTACGGGCCTTGGATAGTGACCTTTATTTATGATCCCGAAAACTTGTATGAAGTTTAAAGTTAATATGTTTAGTTGTTTTGAAGAAGAATATTGTAAGAAACACTTATTTACGTTCAAAAAGGACCATAATTTAGTAAAAATCCATGCTAGAGTTACCTGCCTTGGATAGTGACCATTATTTATGATTCTGCAAGCATGTATGAAGTTTAAAGTGAATACCTTTAGTTCTTTTGAAGAAAATAATGTTGTAAGCAACATTTATAAAGGTTCAAAAAGAACCATAATTTAGTCAAAACCCATAATAGAGTTACTGGCCTTGGATAGTGACCATTGTTTATGATCCTGCAAGCATGTATGAAGTTGAAGTTAATATCTTTAGTTGTTTTGAAGAATAATGTTGTAAGAAACACTTAAATAAATGTTCAAAAAGGACCATAATTCAGTCAAAATCCATGCTAGAGTTACAGGCCTTGGAAAATGACTATAAAATATGAATTAACTTAAGTTTCAATTGAATACCTTTAGTAGTTTTGAAGATTGAAGTTGCAAGCAAAACTTATACCAAGGATTTTTTAAGTTCAAAAAGGGCTAAAATTCTGTTTAATTCCATGCAAGAGTTATGGGCCTTGAAAGTGACCTTATAATATGCTCTTAAATGAGTGTGTGAAGTACAAGCAAATATCGTAAGTGGTTCATGGGATATGATATTGCACGTAAAACTGTAACCAAATTGTTACACTAATTCTGACATCCGGGTGAGTAGAATAGTCCTACTATTTTTGGAATGGTCAAGCTTGAGATAAATCTGTTAAAATATAATTATAAGCTACCTTTGAATTAAAAAACACTGTCCCAATATTTTTATCAATCAAGACATTTTAAAGGATTTCTATAGAGTTTTTAATGAAATATAATAGACAATATCAACAAGGAAAGGCGGTGTTCAATGAACGCAACCCCACATGACCCAGCAACAAGAACTAGCAGCAAGGAGCCCAGGAGGACCGTCATGTGGATTAGTTATATCTGGATAATTTGGGAAGTAATGTACATAATTAAAAACAATTATTGCTAAATGTAAAGTTTTCTTGACTTTTGCCTGTGAACTCAAATAAATGGGCTTAATATCACTATAATTTTCCTTCCTTATCGTCATGTAATAAAGGGTATGATCTGAACTTGGCTAGACTGAATTGTATGGGTCTTTTTTTTAGCATAAGTTACTCCCAAAATGTGTCTATGGAAGTAAAAATTATAAACAGACATGATGTTTTGCAAAAGTTGTTCATTGTGTTAAAAAGTGTTTTATAATTTTACAAGATATGTCATAGTTTGTCCTAGGGGGCATCAAAAGCTTTTTTGTCCAAGGGAGGCTATTTCATTTAATAGGTTGTCCAAGGGGTCTTTATTAGCATTATACCTATGAACAATCTTACTAAAGCTCAGATATGATATATCCTTACTAAGGATTTCCCAAGAATTTAGCTTTACATGACTGTATTTTTGTTAGAAAAAGAATGATTGAAGTAATATGAAACAAATAAACTGGAAATAATAGACTCAATTTTTAATGGTCAATATTGTTTTGGCAGTTTACAGGGTCTGCAGGCTATATGCACAACGCCATGTTTGTTT